CCAAAAATAGACCAAATACCCCGCTAGGCACGCATAGGACCCAGAGACATAACGGGGACGACTTCGAAGTATATGTCACGATCCTCGCACGCGAATCAAGAACACAGGCGCGTAAAACTCTCGAGGCACTCTGGATTAATTCCAGAAATCCGAAAATGAACCGCAGGGAAGAATGCCTCATTTTCACGCTTGATATAGGGCAGTATACAAAACTGCTTTTCTGATGTGAGGGGCACATTATACTTCCACGTGATTTCTGTGCGGTTGGTCTCTACGTGACATTACTTAGTGGAGACCTCATAGAAAGCGGTGAGTGTGCAAAGCTGTGTTCAAAGTGATTGAAATCTTGGTTTGGGGTCTCTTTGTTTGGTTATGGAGGCGTCTGGCCGAGTAGATTGCTGTCAACTTGACCTTTCCAGGCTCTGAGGAAGGCGAAATCCGCCGAAACGTCAGCTTAATCGTGAACAAAGAATAATAACACCTCGCGTTTGCTCAACAAAAATACGAAGAAAATCATTTGATCAATGCCGAGGTTAATAGAAAGTCGGTCGTGGCAGTTACTCTGCATAAGCCTTTGTCCAGTTTCCATATACACTTTGTATAAAAACCTTTATACAAGTTATTCCTTCGCAGTATTGTGAACTATCCCTATAAGTTTTAAATCGTTATCTGTTGAGGAGCCGTAAGAGGAGCTGCGTCCTTTCACTGTGATTTATTCCATAGACCTACCGGTGCAAGTAGCTGTATCAGACTGTGCTAGGTGAAAAAGTTTCAGAACTTCTCTTTGAGCACTGTCTCTGGTTCACCTGTAAAAGCCCATCCACTACAGAATGAATAAAAGGAGCACCATTTGTCACTAAACCAGTGCTTGGTTTTTATCCCTCAGTGCTCCAATTCCGGTGCCTGCACTGATTTTCAATTTCGCTCGTCTCCGCTCACCAAACTAGATGTCATATTGTCATTACTGTGTTGTTAATTTCCACTATCGAGTTTCTATTAACCTCGGCATTGATCAAATAGTTCTCGATATTCTTGTTGAGGAAACACGAGGTGTTGCTTTATTCTTTATTCCGTTAAAGCTGATTTATCGACCACCTGCGACTCTGATCAGCTGTTTGTCCTCAGTGGAAGGCACGTAATAAACGGTGGTTTTTTTCGAGAACCTGTTGAACATGTGATTGCGATTTAGATTTTCATCTTTCTGTGTGTGTTATCGAATCGTTTGACTTAGCAAATTGCCTATTAATATACCCTTCCAGGCTCTGAAGAAGGCGAATTCCGCGGAAACGTCAGCTTTAACGGAATAAAGAATAAAGTAACATCTCGTGATAACTCGAAAGACCGACTTTCTATAAACCTCGGCCTAGATAGTTTATATATTTATTTATGTGATCTTATAAACTGATCTTCTTAAGCTGACGCGAGGTTGGTACAGATCTTCGTTGTCGTTGTCGTTGTTTTTGATGTTATTGATCGATGGCTGACGTTTCGGCGACTTCGCCTTCCTCAGAGCCTGGACGTATTTTATATTAGAATATTTTTATTATTCGGTGGAAAAGAAAGGTTAAAGTATTAATGAAGATCAAACTTTCAAATAGACACCATATTGAACAGAAAGGCCACTCACCGTGATGTTACGTGCGGAACATCACGGCTCTGAGGAAGGCGAAGTCGCCGAAACGTCAGCCATCGATCAACGACATCAAAAACAACGACAACGACAGAGAAGATCTGTACCAACCTCACGTCAGCTTAAGAAGATCAGTTTATAAGATCACATAAATAAAAATATAACACCTCGTGTTTGTTCAACAAGAATATCGGAAACTACTGAACTGTTATTATTGCTATAAACTGTTATATCCCAAGCTCGAGGTTGTTCACGGCAGTTATTGACAAATCACCGGTGGCGAAGTCGTACAAAGTCGAGCATTCCACCTACACTTGGCGGTCAGACAACAAATCTGACCAACGACTACCTGAAGATTAAGGAATTTCCGACAAAAGATTACGAACTGGTTGTGAATACGAAGACTTTCTCTCAGTTTCTCAGGCAAGAAAAGTCGCATCTCCATCACGACTATGTCGCTGCTTGGAAAGAGAAGATAACTGAGATTTGATTCTTAGATAGGCCGGTCATACGATGAGTAGAGGTCCAGATGACAGGAAAAACGTATTAGGACGGGAATTGAAATACACCACGAGGATGGTGCTTTATTGTCGGCTCTTGTGAACAACTATTACTTAATATCACAATGTTTCACCTTTTATTTTCTGCCTACTACAATTTTCACGGCAGCATACAAAGCGAAGGACTTGATACTTGATACTTGAACGGCCCCTCCTCACTGGTTGTGGGGCCACAGCATAATCACCATTTTTTGGGGGTTCGCTGATTAAGCCATTGTGGTTTCTTAGAATTCCGAGGTCAGCCTGGCCAAACTCTGTCCAAGGTCTTCACTACCACAGGCAGTTGCAGCTCTTGTGGTTTAGAGGGAGATTTGCCTCCTAGCGACTAGTTTGATACCAGGACAGTGGTGGATCCTAGTATTAGTTTACTCCTAGCTAGTTTTACCGTTAAAAACGCGGGAGTACCTCTCAGCTTGGGAGGCCTTGTCGCGGGAACGAATACCCCCGCTGTACATCTCAGTTCGACACCCATGAACACCTCCCAGCCACGATGAGGCGGTAAACCATCCGTCGGTATGACCAACAATTACGCAAGCTTTATTTGGCGCGTGCTTCTACCATTCAGCCAACCGTTTGCAATCGTTATCTAGTAATAATACTCTTCTGTGTGATATGGCAAAGATTAGTAAATTCTGTATACCTCGAAATATTACTCGGTCCATATTTAACACATAAAAATAACAACGCCGTAGCAAAAAAAATAACAATATCTTTATCAATAGCTACTTTGGAAGGTATGAAAACTCAAAGTGGTAATAGTTTTTCTGGGATTCAAAGCATGACTCGGTGTTGTGCTGAGTACCATCTACGTTGTGCAAGTTTTTTAAGGAGATAAGTTTCGTTTTTAAGTGTTAAACCCCAGATACACATGACTTATCTCATTCTAAACATTACTAACCCAGAGGGAATGAGTAGAACGTGGAAAGGATTTCTGCAATAGATTAAAATCGACACAAAGAAAAGAAATTGCTAGCAGCTAAAAATTGTTCTGGTTTTATGCGAAATACAACCACAACGATGCTGAGATGTTTCAACACCAGACCGCAGGTTTCTGCGGTTGGGACCGAACACACTTAATACCATTACGAGGGGTAACGCACTCAACACCACACCATGCCGGTCATTTGCTTCGCCTATCTTTCAGCTAGCTCTATCGATCAGTGCCATCAGCAATCACCCCCGAGCGAAATTGATCTGGGCAGCCCACATCGGTATTGCACCCAGTTAAGCTGAGGCCGTAGTTAAAACCGCAATGTTCGCTTTTTACTTTCTGCTTACTGCAATTTTTAATAATACTCTGCCGTGAAAAAATTGTAATAGGCAGTGAATAAAACGTTAACATTGTGATTTCGACTACAGCCTTAGCTTAACTGTGTACATTGCTGAGTTGGACTCCCCAGATCAATCCCGTTGACAGGTTATAGCTGATGACACTGATCGACAAAAAACTAGTTGAGGGATCGGCGAAACGAAGGACCAGTATGGCTTTGTGGTCAACTTGTTTGACCTCAGAAAGGGTAACAGCGCATTCGTTCTCCACCACACCCACCTTTTTGATCGGTCCGCAGTTTTGCAATCATCTCAACATCCCTCGTATGAAGTGCTGAGATATTTGCAAAACTCCGGACCACAGGTGTATGCAGTGGGGAACGAACACGCGCTGTTGTCCTTAGCGGGGAGCAGCGCACTTCACCACTACACCATCCGGGTCAGCGCGTGTTCGTTCTCCACTGCATACACCTGTGGTCCGGAGTTTTGCAAATATCTCAGCACTTCATACGAGTTATATTTCACAACATACCCTGCCATTAAGAAGAAAAAGGCAGTAAATAAAAGAGTTAACATCGTTGTGATTGATGTTGGTCTTTACATATTTAATACTTGCAATCTGCGTGGATGTTTTCATAAATTTTACCTCGACTCTAAGAGTTTTGCAGCTTAATTTTTAAATTCACACTATCCTCTAAAGCCTCAAATTCTTGTCGTAAGGAGTAAGTCTCTCTTCGTAATGAATTTACCTTCAGGCGGTCACACAGTTCGATGAGAAACCACTTGTGTTGCCACGAATTTTCAATCTCGGAAAACTGAAGGTCTAACTAGAAGTTAAATAGCACTGTTACTAGTGCGGGAGCCTAGTCGCAAAATTTCACATAGTCAAGCTGGAAATGATCAAATTCATTGCGATTTTCTAAACCGGCCATCAGTTAACCTAGGTGGTAATAATTAAGATCTTCTTGGACTGTTAAGCTAACCCAGGTTTGATAAAGATGTTTATTCAGCTCACGTTTCGATATCTTCGTCATCATCGGAACCCAATGATCCGAGTCGATAGTCCATAGTCGTTTGTCTTTACGGTGTTGTGTAAACGTCGGCCATCGAATTTGATCTTGTTCAATGGAGTACCGCATGAATGAGGTTACCTCACCTGACGGCAACAACAACCGTCCTGTAGAAAACAACGCCGCCAAATGAGGTTGGTTCATTCAAGCGGTGCCTCGCTGAAGAAGGTTCGACTCTGTATGACGACGAAGACACCAGGTTGAAAAGGGGAACTACTATGAACCATCGACTAGGATCATACGCTCCGATGAAGAAGAAGACGTCGAAATGTTAGCCGAATAAGGATAATCATCAACCTTGCTCTAGCTTAACAATCCAAGAAGCCGTTAGGATAACTCACATTTGATCGGTGAAACTTTTGGATCTGAGACGGTAATATCTTATTGTATTCATATAGATCTCTCAGCTATATGCCTCCAAATGTGATAGAAGAATGTCTAGACAAGTTTGAAAATTCATTCATATTTCGGTTATAAATACTTCCTTGCTTCGTCGTGTTTCAGGCTTTGATGCTCTTCTTTGCCAAGCAACCAGTACGTGTTACAAGCGCCTTTGCCCTGGAAGATAAGATTAGGAATTTATGAGCATTTTGTAGGAAAGAATCCATGCTTTATACACCTGTGCATCGCACCGTAATATTTCTAAGGTTTGCTGCCATTTTGTCAAAGGTTTTAACTTTATTGTTCAATGTTAGTTCATCTTCATAGTCATAAATAAATAAATAAATGAATAAGTAAATAAATAAATGCCTGGATACTTGGATACTTGGACGGCTCGCGCTCACTGATTGTGCGGACCCCATCACTTTCTCCTTTTTGCGGAGTTTTGCTAGTTTATCCATTATGTTTCCCCGGAGTGCCCAGATCAGCCTGTCCAAAGTCTGCCCTAGGTCGTCACCACCACTGGCAGTAGCCGCCCTTGTGGATCAGAGGAAGATTTGCCACCATGCGACTAGTTTAATACCATGACGGTGGTGGATTCTTTTATTGGTTTACTTTTAGCTGGGTTTCCTGATGGAGATGCATTCTAAGCGTGGTAGACTCTGCCAAGGAGATGAATCCCCCCGCTGTACATCGAAGTCCGACACCCAGGAACACCTCCCAGCCTCTATGAGACGATGAGGCGGTAGACCGTTAGGAGGGCATTTATGTATGTATATACATATATATATATATATATACATGCTTTATAATGTTTTCTCAATTTCGACTTTTTTCTACCTTACCGCTTTTTATCATAACACGGTAGCATTTCGATTTTTCACAACAACGGCATGCTCGGTAGCAGTCCATTTTACAAATCTTGGTATGGAACCTTACTAGAGGTTGAATGAATTAGTAATGCGCCCAACCCTCTCGGTATTTTTCTGTTTATAGACTGATACATAGGACACAAGTATTACTGTCCGGTGACATTTTCAATCACCTAGTGGTAATCATGAAAGTGAAAATGAAACTACTGGCTGCGTGGTAAACAATTCAACGCTGATATGGCATCCGTTCATAGAAATTTCTTAGTATCGTCAGCAAACCTTTACATCCACTGTTCCTCTGAGTTCCGTGATAAACTCCGGATAGTATCTGCGCAGCATATCATTTGCGTTTTCTGATATTTGAATTTTTTCGGGTTCACTAGTTGATTCCATCCGAGACGCCATATTTACCTGAAAGCCACCATGAAGCCATATAAAACACAAAATGACCGTATTTTTTTGAAGGCCGTCTTTTTCATATAAATTCACAAATAGAACTTAAGTACTTAGATGGATTGGCTTTATTTTGAGTTGTTTGAACTGTAACGCACTTTCTGTTTTACTACCCGGTTTGATATGTTGAGTTACGGATTATGGTAAAACTCGAGCCAAGACGTTGTAAGTCATTAACAGAAGAACTCGTAAGCCTTTGTGGATCTAAGAAGAATATAACCTTGCGACTACGAAAGCGCCGACCTATGACACTACATTACTTGTTGAGCTTTTGAATAAAAATGTAGGGCGCCTTTGCGGCATGGGTGAAGCTACTGAAGAACAAACTTCCTTTGTAATATCTTAACCAATTAGCTATGGGGGAAAGCAGGAAAAGACGGTAAACTATTAGGGAGGAGTACCCAAATGCAAATCTTATTAACGCTTTTCCTAACTTATACTAATTAGGTGAAAACACCACAATAATGCATATTGCAAGATAGTAAGCTAACCGTATCACCGAAGAGACAATATCTAGGAGCTGTGAGACCAACAACTCCAGCAGCCACAGATCCGCTGTTATAACCAATGCGTATGCGAAGGCGACTGTTACGACGATGTGGAATCTCGAACGTTTTCAGGATCTGTAAGTTCCGCGTGAAATATTTTTGAATAGAAGAAAAATATAGGCTTATTTTTGAATGATGCCTCCATAATTTCCAAAGCGGTTTCGGAAATACACATGATGTGCTTGGTGCCATTTTCCTCTGGAATTCCGGAAACAACCATGTAAGCGTCCCCAATAGTTTCGACCTAAAAAAGCCATGTGAAGTTTTGATAACAAGAACTAGATTAATTCACTAAAAAACAAAAAAATGAAACGTCCGGCCTTGACCTATGTTTTCGTGAGAAGCTATGCATTCCATTTTATTCGTACCCTCGTAAAGATGAATGAAAGGTAGTTCACTTATTCAACGAGTTGCGATAACTATCAAAGGTACTAGTCAGTGTTTATATGCTCTCAGCCAAGTCTGATGCCAATCTCGCCCCTCGGCCTCGGAGTGAAAAAGGACTATGGCCTACCCATGTCGCGGGGCTGAACAAATGACCCTCTGTGGACCTCATGGCAGCTCTAACCGTTCCGCTACACGATCATTCAATAATTCACTGTGTTCTTTAATTCTTCAGCAAAAAAAACCGAGTAAGGCTGAACTATTGCAGTAGGATATATTGCCTTGAAGAAAGTTAAAAAAAAGCTTATCCGTACATACGTATTGTCATATGGTTTAGCCTTTAGTGTCAATTACGAATAGATGTCATCTTTCCAAGTAACGATTACCTTGTAAGCTTGATTCTTGCTGATAACGTCATCAAATTTGGTGTAGATTCCATTCAACATGTTGACCACCTCAAGTGGTGTCGATGAAGAACATATTGTTGTGAAACCGACAATATCACTAAAAGTTCAAGAATATGAGAAAATAAGGGCAGAGCAAAGCGCGATTATTAAAAATGTGTTAAAATGCAAAAACAACAATGAGTGAATGAGTTGGAGCCGAGTTTTCATATATTGGTAACTCTATAGAGATCTCTACATAAGTTCTGAATGGATTTGACATCAAACAACTTTTCCAGGAATATGCGAAATCTTGTAAATGCGACAGGAATACGGGTCGAACAAGTATCCAATGGAATAATTTTCCGGCTCTCCAATTTTGATTCTACAGTCCACCAGAATGCTAGATTAATTTTACATTTTAGTCATAGTCCAATTACAATTTAAGCAAGTGAGTTATGCATTAAACACAGTCGTTATCATCTTTCATACTACTTTTATCTTTAGAATGGTAAATACAATCTCAAGAAATGCCTGAACATGACAGTAGCCAAATCGAACGTCCTCGGAGGCACAGATCGACCAAGTTTCAGTTCATTAGCCACATACCTTAAATAGTATTCCATGGTTGCTCATTGCCCTTTGAGTGAAATATTAAAGCCAATTTTCTATAGCGTATCTTTAGCTCTCCCTTACTATTTTGATAGAACAGAATGAAGTGGTAATTTCGCTTAGGTAAAGATTTTCCAGCATCGTTGAACACATTGCTTCAATATGATGGCGATTCATGCCATGGTAACTTAGCGCTTAAAGCTTAACCTTTACATGGCTGTCGCATGAGACGACGCCTAATTTTACGTCTGTCGTAGACTAATGGTCCTTAAGGAGCAAAATACGATTTTTCGCCATAGAGGCTTAAGAGGTAAAAACATAAGTGCATTTTAGGAGAGCGTTAACTCTAGGGTATGTAGCTACAACTTTCTACACGCAACGGTTCTACATCACATACAACCGCATGCTGGCAGCATTTAGAAGTCCTTTGTAGCCGATGTTAAATGTATTTGGACATTTTTTTAGCAGACCGTGCAATCTCCATCCCTACCAACGGTTTGCCACCTCATCGTGGCTGGAAAGTGTTACTGGGTGTTGTCCGACTGCGATGTACAGTGGGGGATTCGTCCCGCCGCCAGGGTCCCCCAAGCTGGGAAGGGGCCTGGCGTTTCCAACACGAAGCCTAACTAGAACTAAACCAATACTAGGATCCACCACTGTCCTGGTATCAAAGTCGCATGGTGGCGAATCTCCCTCTGATCCACAAGGGCTGCAACCGCCTGTCATGGTGACGATTTGGGGCAGACTTTAGGCAGGCTGTCCTCGGGACTCCAGGAAACCACAATGGCTTAACAAGCAAATCTCCGAAAAATGGTGCTTACGCTGGGGCTCGCACAACTAGTGAAGACGGGCCGTTCAAGTACCAATTATCAAGTATCAAAACCATGCAATCTGACAAATCTGACTATTCATGGCTGGAAGTGAAATAACGTTCAATTATTGGTCAAATTATAAGCCAGTGAATTCGTTCAAAAATGTTATTTTTTCATAAATCATTAGCCATATAGAAGAGCGCTTCATAGGTTATAGCTAACATGAAATCTATATTGGACAAGTTATTGGTTGGATTTAAAATGTGCGTAAACCATTAACTAAAACGCATTGGTTTCAACCCACTTCGTCCACTTACTTAGCAACCACGCATGCACTCCACAAAATGCACCTCGTGTGTTATGTGCAAAGGAGATCACGCAGAAGGGATCACTGTACCCAGGAGTTTATTCACGTCACTGGATTTCTGCCATCACTAACTTTGTCATAAAGTGTAGTCGATTTAACCAATGTCTGAACATCAGAAATACATTATCGATTGCTATTATAGCATATTCAGAAACCGTAATTCCCTCTGACTCGTAGTAACAGTGGCGCACGAGAACAGTACGCCTTACAAGCGCACGCTTATAAGTGCTAATAGCATGTTATGGCAAGTAGAGCACGCAGATTTATAAACTTTTGTAAAATTTAAAGACATAAGTTTCTCAAGCGACTATGTGGGCAAAAATGCTCTCTAGGAACCTGATGAATAGACAGCATGAATTTTCATTAATTCACGCGATCATAAAAAGCAATGGTGAAAGCGGCTAGCAGTTCTTCGCCGACCGAATATTGGTGAAAAGATTTCTTTTATCACTGTTGTTATTATGCTTCAGTTAAGAAAACGCTTTCTTGTTACCAGTATTCTTTGCTTGGTTGGAACAAAATGAAAGCATAGTGAACGATTTCGACAGATTGAACAGACAAAGCGACTGCAAGTTGACCATTTTGTAGAATTGAATAGTACAACGCTTCGCAATTTTTCTGAACAGGTTTTATGAGTAAATAGGCATTTCAAGATCAATAAATGAATTCAATAGCTTTACAAAATAAAACCATTTGATTAGAAAACGTGTGACCACGATCATTTTACCAAGTCAGCGCTCGCTACCTCCTACGCGATTGGCGCTGGAGAGGCTGGAACGACGAGCGTCATACGACCTCAGTGAAAAGCAGTACAGGTTTTCGACAATGAATTTCACCATTACAACGTTAATTATCATAAAAGGTCAACATAGATAAATATGTATATATATATATATATACACATGCGCATACACAAGAATACACACGTACACTCACGCACAAACACACCACACGCCCGCACGCACGCACACAAAACCGCAACAAACCCGCCCCGTACGCACAATTGCAAATATACTGCTATACATACTCACACACCTACATGTGAACAGACCTCTAGGAAGACAAAATACCAATGTTTTGTAGTTGTTTTATGTGTTGACAAGTCTTCTGGTGTACTTACTTGATACTTGATAACTCGAAAGACCGACTTTCTATGAACCTCGGCATAAATAGTTGACATATTTATTTATGAGATCTTATAAACTGATCTTCTTAAGCTGACGCGAGGTTGGTACAGATCTTCGTTGTCGTTGT